TGAAATATGATATCTTATATGCTGGAACAACACACAACGCCAGGGGCACGGTTTGGTATCTTTCTCTTGGCATTCACGTGGTGTTGGCTGTCGTAAGTCAAAACCTATCATCGAATATGATTCCCTTCGGATCAGACACCTCTATGCTATGGCCAAGACACATCACTATGACCAGGGAATTCATCATTGTTCACCTTCTGGCTTGGGCTATCTGTCCTTGGAAGATTTATGTTTCCACTGGGACGTTTCTCGACTTCAGTAGGTTATTTTCAGTAGGTTATTTCTTTTCTGAAGAAGGAAATATCTTGTTCCATGTTCCGGCCATAATGCTAACCTTGATGTCTTGGTGGGTGCTTATAGCATCTTTATAGGACCTGCAGTGAGTATCATGCTGTGCAAGGACTATCTCATTAGCAAGGGCAACATTTATCGCCGAGCATCTACGTCGACAACAAATATAAAAGAAATCATTGGTACCATGGAGGTTGGAACATCCAAGCATACCGCGGCCTACATCACTGCAGTTGGACTATGCATAATTGGCTTTGTTAATAAGGTTGGAGCCCGTGTGCCTCCAGTAGGCGTCAAGCTGGGCTAGTTGGGCTAGCTCGTACCATTCCCGACTGTCGCAATAGTGTATTATATACTGTGCAAGATCTGGCCCCACCAGAACTACAGGAACGTCCAAGGTTTGAAATGGGAGGAATTAGCGAAGCTCGATGAGGGTGTTGCAGATGGGCTATCTAATCATCAATCCGATGTCGACTCATTCGGCAAGACGGCCGGAGACGGTGTGCATGATGCAAAGAAGTAAAGCTCTACCGTGCTGATCACTGTCAAGTGAATGAGCAGGGCCATATCAGGGCTGTCAAGTATGTCTACAGGGAAGTATCGGCGATGATGCGGTGACTCATGGAAGATTAGCCGGCTTTTGCAGCTGAAGCAACTAGTCGAGTATTATTCTTGAAAACCTTCTGTAAAGATACGACTTGCTGATATCAGACGTCACAAAAATCACCTGTGACTGAAAACACATCTAGCCATCATGTAGTCCATTCTCGTGCCAGATGCCCCTCCCGCGCTGCATTCTAGTAGGGAGATGACGAGAACTTCTAACTTTTACGCTGCCTCACACTGTTCTAGTGAATCTAATCTGGCGTAATATGACGTCAGAACATGGTCAAGGTTCGCTCGGCTCTCGTACATTTGGAAGATATGAAGTGATTGCGTAACTCCTTGAAGTAAGTGCCCAGTAAGCCCATCCTCTCGAGCGCGAAGGATGTCCTTGTCACACATTGCAAATATTGTGGTCCTGCTGTCCAAAAATAAAGAGAGCTTCGTAAGGTAACCCTACTGAAGAACAGGCGCAATGAAGCCCCAATGCCTCACTCAAGTGGTAGACCCAAAACTCCCAGCCTGTGGCACAGATGCCGAATTGGCGGTACTTGAGTGCTGATCTGTTAAGCACTATCCTAAGCTTTCCCCCGCGCTGAGCGATAGGTCGTCCCAGCCATAACGAGGCCACCAGGCACGCTGATCGGTCAGCAGTACCTACGGCACAGGCCGTAAAGGATCGTGGCGTAGCCAATGGCACTGCCAGCTCTTAGAACACTGAACATCATGAGATCCAATGCTGGTAGAACACTGCAAGAGCTGGAATAAATTATGATATCGTATTTAGATATGGACAATTATTTAAACCTTTCCAATATCCTTGTGTTCAGTGTCTATCATCTTATCAGCATCGGCAATTTTCACCTGTTCTTTTAAGCAAAGTAACCCTCTTCAGCCGCAAAGTAGGGTTTGTATTCCGGCTCATCAAAATGGCCTTCAACAAGTTCTTTCAACTTTGTCTCATGGCTCTGACCATGGTGTCTTCTAGCCTCTGCTGTGTTCAGTATATAGGCGATTGGGATGCTAGTAAGTTGCAATCGGTATCTCAAATTGCTGCTTGCTCACCACTATATCTCGATAGATACGGGCTATTACTGGGCTCAGCTCATTGACAATGGCGAAATTATCTGCTCAGCCCAGACTAAGTATGAAATCGGAGTGCTCACCGCAGACAACACTGTCTTGACTCTCTCGGGTTGTGCGAGTGGCTACGACGTTAAGTGGAATTTTGACACGAACGACGTCAGCTATGCATATGGATCGTACTCGAGCGGTTTTGGGACAGTTGAGACCCAACTGGAAGCTGGCTACTACCAATACGTGGCCAATGTTTGGGGCTGCGCGTAAAGCAACGACCTACTACAGGCGATGGGCCGTGACTCTTCGAAGATCTCGGTTCGCTCTGGTATAACTTACTAAATGGCTACGTGCGCGTTTCGGTGCATGAGCAATGGATTTTGGATGGTTGGGGGTGATGCGGGTAATGGGAAGGATGGATTTGCTCAAACTTGTTCTCCGAATCGGTTCGGAACATAAGCAGGTTCGGATACATGGAGTTTGTCAAGGAAAGGATTAGGGTGTCAATGCAAGAAAAGCAAATCATTTTTGTTTCAATGAACCTCAACAAAACATTCCTACTGTTTTCTGTATTAATCTTCCGTGCATTGGCTGTAAACCGGGCGCGAAAAATTTGTGGCTTGGTTTACAGCGAGACCTCAGCACTCCGACTACTCACTTTCCTAGTGCTCTCGATTCGGGCTTCTAATGGGCCGCCTGCACCAGTCCAGCCCTTCGGTAATGAATCTCCATGTTAGCTCCGTCGGCTGTTGGCTGTACAGTACAAGTCTTCTCGGAGCTCGAAGGGCAGGGCGAGCTGGGGCCGGGGCTTAGCGCTCTATTACGTTGCACTGTGGCTGTAAAATGCTGCCACTAATGCAGCCCTAAGTCGAGAATTACAGTTTAAGGGGTCTTTTGTTCCTGAAGGATCATCCCAGGCATCTGTCATGGCATTGCGAGAATTCAAATCAGATTTGCAATCTTTTCAATGGTCTTTGTCTCCTTCTACTCGTTCCAACCGTCCTCCGTCAACCTCGACCGGATAGAGGGTGGAATGACTGAGAATCAATGGCCCGTCTTCGGGGATCCGGATGCATCACCTGCAGGTAGGTTGACTGAGCGGAACGCTGGCCTTCCAGCGCTCACAGGAATTGTTAGACATAGAGCTGCCCTGCTAATGCTGGGGGATTTAGGATACGGCGGGTGAAGTGCGATGAGGAGAAGCCACACTGCCGGCGCTGCCTCTCCACACACCGTAAATGCGATGGCTATCTGCCGGCCTCTTCAAAGCTCTCCCGTCGCGATTTGGAGGCTCTCGCCCAGCAGTCCTCGCTCGGTAATCATCTTGCAGTCTCCCGGAGTCCGACTCAGGCGCCGGCTTCGCTATCAACTGCTCTGGGGGGCGAGCCACGATCCAGCCCGCAGTCGCGGGAATGCCAGCTCTTTGACCTCTTCCGCTCCACCACCGCGCCCGCAACTGCGGTGCTCATGCCGTCGCACTTCTGGACCAGCGAAATCCTCCAGCTAGCGCATGTCGAGCCCGCCGTATGGCACGCCGTCGTAGCCCTCGGCGGGCTGCATTGCCGCTGGCATTCTGAAACGACAGTGGCCACTGTGCCATTGCCTGCCGGAGAAGTAGAGCTTCATTACCACCAGGCGGTCTCCCTCGCACGGGGCATGCACCACCCCGAGCGAGCGCTAGCTTTAAGCCTGGCACTGGGCGCAGCCGCGAATTTGATGGGATCACTGCGTGAGAGCAGGATGCATGTAGCGGCAGGACGAAAACTGTTGTGTGAATTGGGCCGCACAGATGAAGTAGCCCATGCAGCAGAGATTGTAGCGCGATTGGACCTGGAGGCTATGTCCTTTGGAGAGGTCACTGCACCGTATGAGCTCCAGGATGCGGCTTTGTTGAGGTACGATCCAGCGGACACCGGTGTCATTAAGAGCTATGAGCAGGCAGCTAGCGGTCTCTTCCGCATGATGCGGATGCTGATGATGGCGGATGAGGAGATACCGACCATATCAATAGATATCGCCGCAGGTGGGGCTTTTGAGAAGGATTTGCGAGAATGGGAGTCTGCTATGGGCAAATTTGAGGAGTCAGTCGTGCATTCGACAGAGATGGGCGAAGGGTACGGTATCGTACCTGCTCTCTCAGTGCGATTACACCATGCCCTCGTCCGAGTGTTCATGATTGCATCCATTCCAGGACCAGAAACGCGGTTTGACGCGCATCTTGGATTCTTCTCGCGACTGCTCACTATAGCTAAGGCTCTCACAAAGAAACTTGACAGTTCTATTCGGACGATGACGATGGAGCCGGGGTTGGTCATGGCATTGTTCATGGCTGGGTCACGATGCCGGCATCCACAAATACGATGGGAGTGCGTGAGACTGTTGTATAACCTTAACCGACAAGAAGGCCTATGGAGAAGCGACGCAATTGCGGTGGCTCTTCAAAGAGTCATTGAAGTTGAAGAGGAGGAAATGTTGTTGCATACCGGCGAGCACGCAAGTCCCGCGTCGTCCGCTGAGAGCATGCCTTCAGGAGGCAAGCGAGGCTCTCAAAGTGGCAGTATGTGCGATGCAGGAGATACGCAGATCTTAGATGATGACTTTGGTGACGATGACAGATTACGCGAGGTGATGGCCACGCCATGGGCGGCGTGGGCTCAGCCGGGCTTCAGTCTGCCATCGCAAGAGAAATGGGACGAAGTGCCGGTGATTCCAGAAGTATGTAGGGTGAAAGGATTTCTCCCAACAATATCTTTCGCAGAACGATCCGTAGTGGCAACATTCTTGATGTCACAAGGAGAACTGGAGAACAAACAACCATTCCCCCGGACGAGACAGGAGAGGTGCTGGTTTTAGATACATCAGCACAACAGTAGTAAAGACGACCGTACATATGTATATATTTCTCGCATATAATGCGGGATGGATGACACTCCCTCACATTAGAGTACATAACTTACATCTGAATGGCCCTGCCCGATGTCCTCGATTCTCCTTTTCTATTATAAAAGTTTTCGGTCAAAGTAATCGCTTTAGACCAACAACATGGAGGCAAGCATTATTGAGGCCATCGCCAGGGTAAAATGGGCGCCTCCTGGAGAGAAGGCTGAGGCGATATTGGGCTCCCCATCCGTGCCCGTGCTGTTTCCATTTCCTGACTCGCTTGTCCCTACCGGCACTGCGGTTCCAGAGATTGCATCCAACCTCGCTCCTCCAGGACTTTGCACGATAAAGTCTTTGATCACGGCCGAGCCATCCGCCAAAGCCTCAAGTTGCTCATCTGTGCAAGTATCCAATGCTTCATACGTATAGCACTGGTTCGCATCTGTGACATTTGGCACATGGTTTTTGGTGTCCCAGCTGCTGAGTGGTCCTTGGGAGCTGTAGTCGTTATCGGCTGTGACCTTACCCGTGGCAACGTCCTTGCCAAACATGCTTCGCTGAAATATCTGGTAGACGGTCTCAGGCTGATAGGCAGCCACGGCGTGGCCTGCCTCAAAGACTCGTGAGAAAGACACGTTACCGTGTTGTCGGACCAAGCCTCCGTTGTAGGAAGAGTTTGTTACAATATCAGCGTAGCCGGCTGAACGGAACGATGTCGCGGAAGGATATTCCACAGTTAAAGAAATGTTCTCGACGCCGATCCCTAATCGAATGTACCTGGTTAGACCCCAAAGACCTCACACCGTAACAGATAATGACCCTGATGTGAAGATGTTAAAATACTCACAGTTGCATTGATAATCACGGTCACCGTAGACCAAGGCGACACTGGCACCGCTGTTGAGAACGTTCTCTAGTAATGACTTGTCCTGGATCATCGCGTCTCCGGTCATCTGAAACATGGCAACTTGGTACGAGTAATCGTTGCTGGTAAAGTTGACGCGAACGCCAAGGTCCTCTTGGACCCATTTCTGGTTGAAGAAGCCTTCAAAATAATTGGAGATGTCTGACGTTATTCTCAGGTGGGTCAGATCGAATTGAGACCGCTTTTTGGAGACGAAATTAGTGACCCGTATCGTAAAATCGATGGGACCTGCAAAAGTGAACTTACATTGGTAGTAAGAACGTAAGATCCCAAGACAACACCGAAGCACACAGCAGACGCAGCCTGACAAGCCTCATTCACAGTCTGATTTGTGCCTTGTCCGGTAGGGTCCCCTTCAGCTCTCAGAGCTCTGCATTGCCTGATTGTATCATAGCAGCCCACATCGGGGGCTGTGAGGTTGCCTACGACAAGATCATACACTTCCTCCGGGTAAGACTCGATGCCATATGTATTGTTGTATGCAATATTGGGATAGCTGGAAGCTTGCGCCTCTGTATCAATGCAGCCATTCCCTATGCCCAAAGTCCCAAGAGGGAGCACCGTGGCATTGACATTCTGATGTCGTTTTGAGGTTACCAACTTGTTTTGATCAACAACGTGTGAGAAAAATCCGGTTCCCCAGAACCCGCCGTACTGTTTGTAAAACGTAAGCTCTAGTGTACGAATTTGATAGATTCTATTGACTGATTGGGTGTGCTCTTACTGATGTACCCCAAAGGGAGATTTCCTTGTCCTCGGTATTGTACTCTGGGAATCTGGGTCATGGTCAGTCTTCCATGTCCCAGTTCTGGTGGATCAGTAGGAAACATACTCCTGAAACCAAACTTGTGCGAATTGCCAAAGAGTTCGTGCCGCCTGTGCTGTTGTATTCTGCGTAGTCTCCATTGATCTTGGGTCCAATGTTGCCGCTAGGAAGGTAGCATTTGTGCTTGGTAACGACGCTCCGTCCTCCAGTGGCGTGAAGACTGGACCACCAGTAGCATCTGTCTGTAATAAATTTAAAGTGCCATTTTGGCGATACGAGTACGAGAACCCAGTTCCCACCGGCTGATCGACATAGAGCATGTTGACGTTCTTATTCCACGAGTAAGGGTTAAGCGTCGTGCTATTGGAGTCGCCATTAATGTTGCACGGGAAGCCGGACATCGAGTCGAAGGAGGTATATCCAGGACCGCCACCCAAATATATCGACGTTGGAGCCTTCTCGGCATTGTTGCGAGCCTCTGAACTATGAATTAGCCTAATGTACTCCCAGCTTCCTAAGAACATGACGCTTACCGAAATACCAGAAAAAGAGATTCACATCATAGTTGACCGAGATGTCTTGGACTTTGTTGAGAACGGATTGGGGTAAATGCACATAGCCACTCCATGCCTTGACTCCCTCAGTTGTCTCACAAATTGAGGTCTGCAGGAAGATGTCAACGATGTACTCAGTAGAATTGAGATCCAAAGTGCTAGGTTCTAGGGATCAGCGCCGTACTACTCACCTGTTTGTATGAAATTGAAGCCCCAGGCCACCTTTCGGAGACGACCTCTGTGAGTCCTACAGGCTCAGGAGGGAAACTCGACTGTGCAAGCGAGGACTTCAATCCCCCAAGGGCGCCAAGTAGAAGGAAGGAAGCGGAACACCTCATGATGAGCAAGTTGTGTCAAATGAGGTACTGGGATCAGTATCTATGTCATGCAGACAGAGCTAGAATTCTGTTTTCAGAAATGCTACGTGCGGCCTATATATATTTTGTCTACCGAAATACCTGAGATTCAGCCTTAATATTGCAGATCCCAGGACAGATGCTGTCAGGAATACACGCGCGCAGTAACGCCCCGGATTATAGAGGCATGCCATCCCAAAATTGGAACCCGCCTGCCTCTTGTGTTAGGATTCTGGTGGCATTTGGGTCGTGAGGTTTGGGCAATGGCGAGTCAACCAATCGCTTCGTCTCGGCAGTTTTGACGCGACAGCTGGGGCTGAACATGATGGCTTATACCAAATTAAACGGCCGCTATTTAGACGATCCTGCAGGAGCATCCGCCCCGTTGGAACCGGTAGCGCTAGTGAACACCCACACACTTGACCTCCGCTCAATGGCGAGCCGGCCAATGAAATGACCATTCAACGTCTCTAGCATCTGTCATTGCCTCATTACGATGCATGATTAAAAGATAACCTGGGAGCTTGAAACTTTTGATTGTTGCCTTACCGTAGATCTGGGAGCTAAACACAAGGCTAACACAGCTTCAACACCGGCAGTTAGATTACCTAACTGAGAAGTCTTGAATTGTCTTGTCGAGGTAATCCAATTGTATCAGTCTTAGCAGTATATACTCTCGCACAGCCCCCAACTATGTCCCTAGCTGCCATGTCAATGCATACCCAGGTAGTCACAGAACGAAAAGCTACACTCAACCAAGACCAATTATATCTCTTCTGGTGAACAAACCCAGGTTCAAGGAAGCGCCGTTTCCAGAACCTGCCCATTCGTTTGCTTAGGTGTACGAGTCGTCTCTGGATATAGCTAGCTTCACACGTTTTGCAGGTGGGCCATCCACACCACGATGTCATCTTTTTTTTTTTTTTTTTGCGCCTTGCAACGTCCCGTTCTTGTTGCAGCATTTCCAAACACTGCTTTCAAAATACTTACCTCGTTTTATCTCCAGCACAATTCTCCCCACAATCATCCCGGTACTCGGGATGATAGTCAGGCTTCAGTCTGCCTTCTCTTGCCTTAGCAGGGGAGAGATTATGCTTCTCAGGGTTCTGTAAGCTGCCATGGCGAAAGAGGCATGCAGTCGATGAAATTTCGGAATTCATGAACGACATGTTGCACTGTATGCAGAACAAGATATTTTCTTTGCGTTCTATATTTTACTTTTTTGTTCGCTGACGGTCCATATTCTCTTTGGCCTCGAGCATCCGAGGTGATAGAGCGCACGTTTCTAGGTCGAACTCTCATGGCGAAGCGCATAATAAGAATGGCTCTTGGCATATCATTTGATACTGAGAGTATGTGCGGTCCACATTTCCCCCCCCACATGTCTTTGAGAGTAAACAAGTCGGGGATCCGACGCCCTGATTGTGCGACGCGTCGACTTTTCCTTGCGTGGCTGGAACTGCCAAGGGCGAACCATTTTGCAGGAGATCTTGTTTTGGCATATTCGCATCTCACAGTACAGATGATAGCTTATCAAGTTTTACTTGAAATAACAGTCTCACTCAATAACATTTATACGTGGTAGACTCATCGAGATTTCTTAGTATGGAAGTGATTATTTGTAACATGGCGTACTTATCTTGATGAGGAAAAAGTCGATCACGTCGAACACATCGCTAAACGAAGCTCAATGGATTTTCAACTATGCTCTAGCGGGTCCCGTCTTGAGCTAAATATAACCTAAACCAAATTGAATCCCTACTTGCACTAGCTGTAAAGCATACAGTGACATTTGGAGCCTCATTGGGCTGAAAGGAAAAGATAGCGAGAAGGGTATGACCACTGGATCGACCCTTATTTCCCCCTGGCGAGGGGTATTAGTAAGACAGTCCGGACGGCACTGTGTTTTCCTCACTCCTGCATACTAGTTCTAGTGGGATGTGCTGTTAGCCGCTCCGACACAGGATGCAATACGAATGCTTTATATCAAAACGGCCCGCTCACTCCTCACATCGGTGCATTTGGTGGCGAGGATGGTGCGCGCTGGAGGTCGAAGTACTCCATCCTGTGGATCAAACTACCAAACACTCCGTATCTTCTTATGATATTACGATTCACCGACCGACGTACACAGACAAGAGCGGGAGAGCCATGAACAAGACAGTGGCTAATGTATCGGAGTCGAGTGTGATAGTTAATGACCTGGTGTCGCATCGAGGTGATGAGGACGAGCAAGCAGTCCGGAATGCTGATGAAGCATTGAAAGCCTTAGAAGGCGTCAGCGATGCAGATCTCGCAATCGATTCAGATAAGCACGCTAAGCTTTTGCGTACAATTGATTTGTACATGATGCCGGTACGTAGTGCTCACAATGAACCAGGCATTCTCATCGCTGATTTTCTTCAGATCATGTGTATTGTTTACTGTCTCAACTTCCTGGACAAGACTACTCTCAATTATGCTGCCGTCATGGGAATATCGAAACCGAGATCAGAAGGCGGTCTCGGTTTACATGGTGACGAATATAACTGGCTTGCAAGGCATGATGAGAGCCCTATCATTCTCTCGTGACCCTACACTTCTAACAAACTCTCTCATAGCATGTTCTATTTTGGGTATCTTGCATTTGAATGGCCTAGTAACGTATGAACTCATGCTATGAAACGTTTGAGTCAACTCTTACGAAGTTAAACAGAGACTGCTGCAATACTTTCCACTGGGCAAGTACCTCGCCTTCAACATCATCGCATGGGGGACCATTCTTTGCTGTTATGCCGCTGTCCGTAACATTTCTGGCGCTTTGGCACTGCGGTTCTTCCTCGGATTGTTTGAGTCATCGGTGACACCTGGCTTTGCCCTTCTTACATCGCGATGGTATACCAAAGACGAGCAAGGCACCCGCACCGCGATTTGGTTCAGTGCAAACGGTGTGGCACAGATTGCAGGAGGGGTTATTTCGTACGGTATCATCACAGCAATCGAGAAGCATGGCTCGGCAATCGAGCCTTGGAAGATCATCTTTCTCGTAGCTGGTTTTCTAACCATTGCGATGGGAATCGTCTTTTTATTCATCATACCTGACAACCAGACAAATGCTAGCTGGCTCAACAAGGGGGATCGCCTTCTCTCAATCCAGCATGTCCGTGTCAACCAGCAAGGCATAGGTAATCGACAATGGAAGCGGTATCAATTCGTCGAAGCGTTGACCGACCCACTATCATGGACATTCGTTGTCTACTCGCTGTTCTCGATGATACCTAACGGTGGAATGACGAACTTCTTCTCCCCAATCATCCGCTCCTTCGGGTACTCCCCTGCACAGGCTCTTCTGTACGGCGCTCCAGGTGGCGCAGTCCAGATCGTGTCTCTCGTAACGTCCGGACTCTTGGGCAGCAGGCTGCATAACCGGTTACTCGTCAGCTCTAATGGCCTTTTGATCGCCATAATAGGCATGTCTCTGATTGCTTCACTTCCTTCAGATATGAAAGCTGGTCGACTCGCCGGTTTCTATCTCAACCAGACCGCAATCTGCCCATTTGTCGCCATCTTGTCCCTGATATCAACCAATGTTGCTGGTTACACCAAGAAAACAACTGTTGCAGCCATGTATTTGGTGGCATATTGCGTTGGAAACATCATTGGTCCGCAAACATTCAGGGGCGCGGGTTGGGCTTCCGCAGAGTTCACTTTCATCGGATGTTATGCAATTTGCTTCGTAGATGTCCTTCTCATCTCGTGGCTTTACAGGAGACGGAATCGGATCAAATCCGCGATCATACAGCAGCCAGGATTTGAACGAGTGCAGGATAGAGAGTAGGTTGCCGACGCAGTCTTGATAAGTCACTTCGTAATGCTGATGAGATAAAAAAGGTTTCTTGACATCACCGACTTGGAGAATCCAGAATTTCGGTACGTGATTTGAAAAAGTGCTAGCCAAAGTGCAGCTCTTCCTGCCGTCGAAGCTTTCGTGAGCTGAACCGGGTTCCCGCGACGAGTCGAGATGAATAGCGTGTATTTCTATGGCACTGATTTGCACAATGTCATTTGTTCGATAGTAGCATCCTTTTCAATGTGGATCAATGAAAACGCCGGGCTCATCCCACGATAGAAGTCCCACGTCCATGAACCTCGCATCCATGTAGCTGGTATCCAGGGAAAAGTCCATTTCATCGGTTAATTGAGCCATTGCGAAAGCTTCCTCCTCAGAAACAGCCGGCTCGCTGGTTGGAT